ATTAAACTCTTTCCATGCTGAGATGATGTATTGCCTCCTGGCCTAAATGCCAGTCCTGCAGTAACAAAAATTATGATGTTAGCTTTACATTTATTGAGCATTAATTAAGTGTTGAGCTAAGTGCTTTAATACAACATCTCACTTAATTCTCACAATTCATTCAAAATACACATTAAGATTATACTCATTTTATAAATAAAGAAACTGAGGCTGAGAGGGACTTCCTCAAAATTAATGGAGAAAGTGGCAGAGCCAATATTTGAACCCATGTCTGAGTCACTCCAGAAACTCTGCATATAACTACTATGCTGTTCTGACTCTTATTCTGCCTGACTGACTTACACATGGGGAACATTCAAAAAATATCTTTGCAAATGATGAAATAGTCATGATAAATCAAATAATGAGAAATTGAAAAAAAACCTCACATATACATTGTGAATTAGCTTCAGGAAAAGGCAAATTCAGCTTATTTACAGAGTAGCTGGCTGTGTCTCAGCTTTCAATATTTATGTGTTACTCTTGGGACCCCCCGTTTTCCCCTGTTTTGGGTGCACAGTGCATGGGAGCAGCCATGTATTTCAGCTGGGTCTTTCCTGCCTGTTAAATGTCTACTGGGCTAAGCACTCTCCAAGCTCCTAGCAAGTTCATTAGTTACCTGAAAATATCTACCTCATCTGTCATCAGCACTCAAATGGCCTGAGGGATTTTTCATTTCCACTCCATTTTCCAAACTCTTTCTAGCATTTACCTCCCACATCTGGAATCAATCCTGACCAGCAGCAAAATGCTGAATAGTCGGGCTCCTCCCAGGGCAGCCTTTCTTTCTCCCAAAGAGAGACAAGAATACATCGCATATGAATTAGCCATTCTCTTCTAGAGAAAACTGGCGGCAGAGGTAGCTTCTGCATTCTAATTTGCTCATCTAGCCCCTTCGTCTTTACTTGTTGAAGCAAAATATTTAGTTTAACGAACGTTTTCACTCATTGGAGCTGAAAAAACACACATATTTTAAAACTAGATTTTATTTGTGTTGCAAATCATGAGTATCCTTCAAAAATATCCCAGTTCTTTGTCCCTTTACCCCCTTGATAGAAAAGATTTAGACTACAGTCTTAGGAAACATCACTGACTTCCAAGCCTCAGCACCATTGCCCCACCACTGTTGCTGCAACCACTTTCCAGAGAAAAGAGAATATTGGTTTGCCAGTGACAACTAACTCAATTCCAAGGATGATTTAGACATTTGATTTTATGTTGTTTGGGGGTTGATTTTGTTTTTGTTTCTAGATAGTGTGGGGGCCACCTTCATAGACTTCCAGAATTGCTTTCAAGGGGACAACGTTCAGATCCGCATGAAGGAAATATAGTTAATTTATTATAGATTGTTATTTTCCTTTTGGAGGGGAAGGACTGGATAGGAAAAGCTGACTTCAGGGAACTAAACTCCACACATCTTTTAACAATTATTCTTGAGAATATCTTCATGAAAATAATACCAGAAAGTAAATGGCACCAAAGCTGCTTTCTGAGAGCCCCTAAGAAAATGTGAAAGGGATAAAGTCAATCTCTTAATTGGATAAACTGAATCATTAAGGACAGCGCATCCTGTCCTTAATTTTAAATCATCCAAAGTTTTGTTTTTGTTTTTGTTTTAGAAGAAACAGCAATATAAAAAATCCAAAATGCCCAGTATAGCACAAGATACAGCCGTTAGCACCTGCAGGGTGATTATCTATGCTGACAAAGTGAAATATTACTATGGATAATAAAAACATACAAAATACAAGAGAGAAAAACTAATGAGAGGCAATCAGGGAGCTAGAAAGGCAGTTTCCTAGAAATCCTACGAAGGATTTCATAATTTCAGATAGTGAATAAGGTGCTTCTGCTCCCTTTAAGGTCAATAATTGAATCATCAAGTGTTTTTAAAATACACTAAGTTGTTAACAATTTTGGAATGTCTACCCTGCACCAGGCATTGTGCGAAGTCTCTTCTCAAGTGATAGCATCCACTGTGCTCCCAGCACGTGCACCAGGCACTGTGGGGAGGCAAATGAATTGCAGGAGCCTGCTCTGTCCTTTCTTACATAACTGGCCAATGCAATGGTGAAACCCCTGAGAAAGCAAATCCAACCTCTGGATTGAGGGGATAAAACCAATGTGAACAGTAAGCTCTTTGAAAGGAAAACTGCTTCCCTTTGGTAGAAAATAAGGGGGAAGGGGACCCATGCAGGGAGCCCAGCAAGCAGAAAAGGTGGGCCCTAGGGAGTGTGATATTACACAGGAACATAATGGGGTTGACTGCATACTTGTCTAATTACTGCAGCTATTAAAATCTCTATAATTTAGATTCAGGCAGAAAAAAAAATGGCTCGTATAAATGCACACACATGCTCCTGATTGGATTTTATGAATCCATTCCTCTCGATTCTAAAAGGACACCACCCTGCTGTGTACATGTGGCTGCTAAACCTGAATGACCTTCTCCCCCGGCCCTGCCCTTTCCCCCTGACTAGTGTACTCTGTTACTGTAATAAGCAGTTTGGTTAGATAAGGCGATGGTTGATGGGATCATCTGTGTTGAAGCCGAATTATAATGCTCAGTCAACGGATTTAATCTAAACCAAATGTTTTGGGATTCTGAAAGCTCCAGGAGAAGAGAAAATATAAGTTTTATATTTGCTGAAGTTCAAACAGAGAGCAGACAGAGAGATTCCAGAAGCTCAGAGAGTGGTAGCAAAAAAAAAAAAAAAAAAAAAGTGGTGTTTCTCCTGAGTTCAGTCAAAGGAACAAGTGGGTACACTTTGCATTCACCATCTTCTCCTTTAGTTTTCTCCTTTATGAACTTTCTTTTCTCTTGACACATTATCTGTTTAATGTCAAAGTGAACTTGATACAGTAAGTACTTAGCATGTGTAGGTGCTCAAAGACACTTCTGGAATAAACAATAAACAAGTGGGCAATGGTTAGTGTAGGGGTTTAGTGTCCACACTGTTAGTCTCAGACTTCACTCAGCCCCTTCTTAGCCATGAGACTTGAGGCAAATATGCCTAACATCAGGGCCTCAGTTTCCAGATATGCAAAGTAGAGCTAATACTAGCTGTGCAGATTAAACAGGTCAATGCATCTAAGTACTAGCATAGTGTCTGATACATAGATGGTAGCTTCCTAGTTAACTTTCATTAGCTTTTGCAGCTGTGTTCTTACCTACCAGGCGAGACTTCCCCTCCTGAGAACCCTGACCATTTCCTTTTAACTGGTCCTTCCTGCACCCTTCTTTCTTTGTTTTAGTTAAAGATGAGATTTAAGCCTAAAACTTAGGGCATCTCTTTGAGAATTCCTCATTTCCTGGGTACTTCCCATATATAAATGGGATATACGTACTAATACACTTGTTTGTTTTTCTCTTGTCTGTCTGTCTTTTGTCAGTGGTCTGTCCCAGCTAAGAATGCAGAAGGTTTGTGAGAAAGTTATTTTTCTTCCCCTACAGTACATATGGCTAATTTTGAAGACTACTACTTTCATTAAAAACACAGAAAAAGTGCTTATCCATGCTTCATTGTATCTAATGCTAAAAATAACTTTTGGAGGCTGAAGAGAAATATTACTATTCTTATTCAACAGGTAAGAAAATAGTTACGTCCCATAGATAGTGAGAATCAAGCCAGAGTTGAAACTCAACTCTATATTTGATATTCAACAAAGGTTTAATGAGCACCTACTCTGTTTCAGGCACCATGCTGGGTTCTGGGAACAAAACAGTAGACAGACAGAGCAGTCTTGAAGGGTATCTTCCTGCTTCTAGTCTAGTGCTCTTAATCTGAGAATTGGCCAATGACAGTGACATTAATTCATAATCCAATATGTTTCTTCATATAAAAATTTAATAGCTTTAAGGAGGTTTCTAAATACCTTAAAAAGAATCAGAAGTCACTCTGTGCAGGATTTATGACTGAAACTACAGTAAATAGTGACTAAATTAATAGAAGTATAGTTGTAACATGACTTAGGAATAAAATAATTGGAAAGTCATCTGAACACTTGGCAACATCACCATCTTACATAAGAGATAAATGCACTAAAAGTGCAGCAGTGAAGACAACTGTGGGTTCCAACCCAAGGTGCCCCATTTTTGTATCACCAAACAGCCGGGATTTCCAAGCAGGCTCTGTGCATTCACAGGCCACTCCTCTGCTGACTTTCAGTCCCCAACTGCCAGGCCTATTGGTGTTCCCTGTTATTCTCCTGACAGACAAAGGAAAGTAGCATGTATTCCTTCTGCTACATGCTACTAGGAGCCAGCAAAATGGTTTTGTGATTGTGAGACATGTCGACTTAATTAGCTTTTTTCCTTCCAGGTAATAAGAGTTTTCTCCAAGGAATGACCAAAATTAACAACACAGTTTGAGGAAGTTTATATTTCTTTCTCTTTGCCCACTTAAGATTCCTAGATGCAAAAATCACATCCACAGATGCTAAGAAATCTACGTGGTTTATTATTTTTGAATGTAACAAAATAAGATATTACAGTGAAAGTTAGAATCGCTTCATTTGACGTGTATTTAGAAATTGTCCATTTGAGAAGTATGGATTAAGTGTCCTTCAGGCTTTAAAAATTAAGGAAATGAGAAGTATCCTCTCTTTTATCAGAACTTCTTTATTTAGAAAGTTCATCCATAGTTATGGGAACCCCCAAGTATAGCATGAAGAAACATTTTTTGCACACATGCATTTTGTGAGATTATGGCTTTCCAAAAGATTCTTACAGGAAGACATAAATCAAATCAGCTTGAGAACTGCTTCATCATTGTCTGTCAAAGTCTCAAATGTTGTCAATTCATTTATAAGTAATTTCACATAATTTTTGGATGTTTCTTCAAACTTGGGATTTGAAACCAAAATTTATAATCATCAGATATATATTTTAAGGATATAAGATGTCTAGTTTATACTACGACATTTCTTTCATTTGCACAATTTCAAGAAGTGTTTTTTGCCTCTGAAAAGCAGAATGAACTTTCCAAGTATAACTCCACTTAATTTGACTCTGAGGATTGTAGTTCCTGAACAGCTGACTGAAATGAAATTCTACAAAGCAGATCCTCTATTCCCATTTTACTGTTGTAATTTCGGTTTGTGGCCCAGGTCAAGAGTACAAGGATTGAACCCCGTGTCCCCAACATGTTTCTGTGGGGTGGGACTGATGAGTTTTATCAATGAGCCTTTGTGGATAGAGCTCTATCCAACTAAATAAAACCAAGAGTCTCCCTGCCTAGGCACCTATCATCTTGTTGGGGAGACAAAACATGCATTCAACACATACGCATTTTTTTTCCAAGAGGCCACATTATAAACTAGAAAAATCTTGAGAATGTATACAGATTTCACTAGCATACAAAATGTCCATGGCTAACGATGTTCTGGATTATGGTATGTCTTACTATGAATTTATGGATATATTGTCTGATTTGTCAATGTTCATTCTTCAAAATATGCCCATTGAAAAAAACTGAGTTTTTTTGAAGGATAAATTTTATGACTAAATTTGTAAATAAACCACGCAGGATTCTTATTTAGATTTGCCAAACTTAGAGTCTTCAGTGATCTAAATAATTGACCTTCCTGTCACAGTCTTCCGTTTATAAGCAGGTGAAGAAAGTTTTTCTTTCCTGTAAGGTAGAGAAAGAGAAAAAAACATATATATATGTATATACATGTACACACATTTATATACACACATAGTAGGAAGTTGAGTACAATTTGCTATTTTAAAAAATTATCAGAATAGGTGCATTAAAGCTTGATAGGGTTCGTAAAATTTATAGAGGCATCCCCTTCAAGGCCTGATGTGAGTTATGAAATCTAATTTTGTTTTCATAGCTCTGTGATAAAATTTTATCAATGTTATAAAAGGGGTCTTTACTAAGACTGACCGGAAATCTGAACTATCTGGCCAGGCAATAAAAACACATTCCTTAGCTGCAAAGTGTCAGACAAGCAAGGTTTAACTAAAATTGATCGATAAGTCTTCCTTTTACAGTTGAGTGCATTCACTTTACCTCATAGGATAATAGTTTTTTTAATGGTTTTTCCATTAATATCAGACATCAGTGTTAGTAAGAAACAAGAAAGACATAAGAGAGAGAGAGAGAGAGAGAGAGAGAGAGAGAGAGAGAGAGAGAGAAGGGTCATCAAGAAAGAGTGTGATTTTTGTTACTATTATGGGTTGAATTGCATTCCTCCAAAATTCACATGTCAAAATCCTAACCCCAGCACCTCAGGATGTGATCTTATTTGGAAATAAGATCACTGCAGATGTCATTAGGTAAGATGAAGTCACACTAGGGTAGGCTCCTAATCCAACATCACTGATGTCCTTATAACAATGGGAAATTTTGGATTCAAGAACACAGGAAGAATGTCAAATAAATATGAAGGCAGGGATCGAGGTGATGCTTCTACAACCGAGAAATGCCAAAAGATTGCCAGCTTTTCTTAGTCTGTTCAGGTTTCTATCATGAAATAACTTAGACTGGGTAGCTTAGAAACAATAAAAATTTATTTCTCACAATTCTGGAGCCTGGGAAGTCCATGATCAAGGTGTCAGCAGATTTGGTGTCTAGTGAGGGCTTGCTTCCTGGTTCATATGGTGCCTGTTTCCAATGGTGCCTTCTTGCTGTGTCTTCACATAGTGGAAGGGGCATGGCAGCTCTCATGGGCTTATTTTATAAGGGCAATAATTCCATTCATGAGGCTACTGCCCTCCTGACCTAATTAGCCCCTAAAGGTCTCAGCTTTTACTATCACATTGGGGACTGGTATTCAACATGTGAATTTTAGAGAGACATAAACATTCAGTCCACAGCACCGGAAAACCACCAGAAGCTAAGGAGAGAGGTGGCACAGATTCTTCCTCATAGCCCTCAGAAGGAATCAGTGCTGCTAACACCTTGATCTTGGACTTCTAGTCTCCAGAACTGTGAGACAATACACTTCTGTTGTTTAAGATACCCATCTTGTGGTACTTCATTATAGCCTCTACTGTGGTCTGAATATGTCTTCCAAAATTCATGTTTTATAAGCTGAATCCCTAATGCAGCAGTGTTGGGATGTGGGGCATTTTGAGAGGTATTTGGGTCATGAGGGATTTACTCTCATAAATGGATTAATGCTGCTATAAAAAGGGCATGTGGGAGTGGGTTTGCTTTCTCTTCCCTTCCACCTTCTGCCCTGTGGGGAAGCAGTAAGAAGACGCTCACCTGACACCAGTGCCTTGATTGTGATCTTGGACTTCCCAGCCTCCAGAACTGAGAGAAATAGATTTCTGTTCTCCCACCTTGGGTTGGGCATCCAAACGTAGCTTACCTTGCCTAACTCAATTGTCATCAGGAAAATCATTCAAATAAGCAGCAACTAAACCATAAAATGATCACTTCAAGGTATCTAGTGAGCTCATTTTCAGAATGGCCAAGACCACATCTAACATTTCTGTTGCACTGAAAACTTACAAGGGGTTTCTAGGGTACCTAAATGGAAACAGCAGGCTTTGAGGGTACGCAGATTTGGGTACAGATCCCAGCTCTTTCACTTATTGGCTGGTGCCTTTGGCAAAGATATTTCACTTCGTAAAAGCCCAGCTTTCCCATCTGTAAAATGTAAAAGTAGTAAAAGACATATCTACTTCATAGGGTGGTTGTGAATACTTATTCAGAGAGACAACACCTGTGTAAAGGTCCAATATGGAGCCTGGTACAGATGCACACTCTAAAAATGTTGGTGCCCTTCTCCTTCCATGTTAATGATCTTATTTGAGGCTTATACCAAGCAACTTTCCCAAGAGTACAGGAAGGCAAGACTCAAGCCAGGCCTATGTCTCCAAGTCCAGGAATCTTTCCCTGGAAGGAGCCACCTCCACACCTTGGCTACCACAAAGTCATGCTATGACCTCCCTCTGTTGCTCTGGTGAGACTTAAATTGGGCTTATGAAGGTGAAGTGGCCCTTTATGCAGATCCTGGTAAGCACCTGTAGAAAGTCCCTACTAAGCAGGTGATGAAATTCCAGGAATCAGCTGGAAGAGAAAGAGAGGGGGAAAAAAAGTCATATCTGTCTAATCATATCTTATTATTGAATTAGAATCAGATTTTTAAAGTTGGATGCAACTTTAAAGATTAAAAATCTGCTCTTTTCACTTTCTAGAAAAGGATGTGGCAGATTATACAGTATCTCAGCCAGTCAGCATCAAGTTGAATGATCTCATGAATCCAGCCCAATGTTCTTTCCATTTTAATTAGTGTTCCAAATACCCACAATGTCAGCTCAAGAATGGAAGAACCAGAACAGATCCAAGGATATGTAAAATAGTCTCAGAATAAGCCTTTGTCATTGAAGAGAAATGTGGCTTTAGTAGAATCAAGATGCTTCCTAACTCTGATTCTTAGACCAAGACAAAGTGAAGGTGGATTTCAAAATGGCATTATAACTGCAATTTAGTAGAGGGGGAGGGGTGTATCAGCACTCTTTCATATCGGCTTTTTTTTTTTTTTTTTTGAGAGGAATTCTTGCTCTGTCACCCAGGCTGAGATGCAGTGGTGCAATCTCGGCTCACTGCAGCCTCCACCTCCCAGGTTCCAGCAATTCTCCTGCCTCAGCTTCCCAAAGTGCTAGGATTACAGGTGTGAGCTACCTGGCCAGGCTCATACCTGCTCTTTAGAAAGAGTGAAGTTTGCTCATCTGGGCCTGCGGTACCCAGGAGCTCCGGAAAGAGCTCATGGTCATTTTAGAGTAGACAGAGGATGTGAGAAGCAGTGACTCTTGTTTAGAAATCTTCTAAATTGGCTGACTCCCATTTACATGCTGTTTCTGGCAGCAGAGATCAGTCTGGGTCACCTCTATGCCACTGAGCAAATATGCTCAAAATTATTACTATTTCAGACAAATGTTTAACTGTTCTCAGATTATCTATGACACCACAGGCCAAAGTCACAGCAATCTAAACTGAGAGTGAGTTTACTTTACTTTGTGATTTATGGAATGAGAATTCTGGGTGCTCTGTGGGACTAATTTAATACGAAACATTCAGATGTCTGTCTTATAATGCCATTCATCTTTCCTTAGCCTGCCTGCACCAGGGAGCATGTGGTTCAGAGAGCAGCCTCTCCCTTCTCAGCCACAAATCATCACACTTGTGAAAGGGGGTGACATGTCTTCCTTTCTAAGCCAGGCTGCCTGCAACAAGAGGATCTGTCTGGGCTCTGATGGAAGAAAAGTGTTTTTCACTCTATCTGGCCGTTGGGAGTGTTTTGAAAGGTACAGTTAGCAAAGTAGGGTTCATAATCAACATTGCTTTGGACTGCCTTTTGATGATGGGAACTTAGTCTACACTGTCTTAACAACAAGTGCAGATTTGTTTTATAAGAAGGCAAAGTGCTGTTCTATGGATTGATGTAATGCATGTGAGAAGAAAGTTCTACAAAAAGCTAAACTCTGATTCAGTGTCGTACTTATATTTGAAAAGCAGATATTTCAGTGCATGGTTAAAAAGGAACAAAAATAAATCTTTTTAAGCCAACAAGTTACCCTAAGTCTCACATTCATACAACAAATATTTGTGAATGCCTCCTATGTAGTAAGGGCTATTCAGGCAATGGGAACATAAAACACCCTACTTTCAAGGAGTTTGCAGATCAATGTGAGAAACGGTAAGTCCTACAATCAGGGTGAGCAACAGTGGTAAGTCCTACAATCAGGGTGAGCAACAGGTACAGGGAAAGCACATGGAAGGAAACTCTCCACACAATCATATAAAATAACATGAGAAAGCTGCAGGAAGAAAATGTGCAAAATCACAAAAGTGAGAGAAAATGTACAATCTTGGGGAATGGGGAAAAGTTTAGAATGGGCGGAGTGCAGAACGCTGTGAGCAAAGGGCTGAGAAGACAGATTGCAGAGCCAGGGGAGCTCCAGATTCCAAAGGCCTTAGGCACACGGGAAGGAGTTTGTCCTTCATTTTGATGGCAACAGGGGGCCACTTAAGCTCTTTAAGCAAGGAAGTGACATGATATGATTCTTATTCTAGAAAGAACGTTCTGGCTACAACTTTGATAAAGAATTTGATAGCAGCAAGGCTCCAGGGGTGGAGTGTGCAATGACTAGTTGGAAAATTAGAGGTATTATCTCAGTGAACGATGGCAGTGGTCTGAAGTCAGATAGGTAAGTAAAAACTCTGAAGTACTTACAAATCCTATAAATGAATCCACTTTACTCATATTAACAGTTGTATGTTTGTGCAAATAGAAATCAACCTCTGCCGTCAAGTCATTTCCTGAGTGAGGCAGAGTCCTGTTGACCCTGGTATGTGCTGCCACTGCCATGTGAAAACTCTGAGAAGCCTCTTGAAGACATAGCTTTGGTTAAATGTATGGATGTGGCCCATATCAAACTTCCCATGGGAACTGGCTGTTATCTAGTGGATAATACTGCTCCATGATGTCCTAGAGAATATGAGGATTTACAACTCAAAACACAGCAGAACACTGTCACACCCAGTGAGCAGAGCTCACATTTTAACACTAGGAAAGCTGTTACCAAGTGTGGCCTTTGAGAGTGGGGTAGTAGAAGACACAGTAATAAAAATAAAAATCTGTAATGGGATTTATCCTATCAAAATGA